GCCTTAAGCTATCTTGAACATGGTAAGCACCGAACGTGACTTTAACAATAGAAATAGAACTTCAGAAATAAATGATGACCTCAGAAAGTCCATAAATACTACGAATGGATGATAAAAATATACATACATATTATAAAAAGTCATGAAGTAGGACAAAATATTTTTGATCTCTTCAAAGAGGCTGATAAACGTGAATGAAGTGCGGCTACATCTGTTTAAAGACTGGAGAGCCTAAAATTTAATATTGTTATATAGCCGAATACAATTTATCTGACGCAAGTATATAATTGTTGCTGTATATTTTTTAAAATTTGGTAAAATATTGTTGTATGATTCTTATTGAATTAAAAATTAAAAGTTTTGTGAAAACGAAGATTATTTTTATTGATTAGTTAATTATAAAATATACTGACCTTAAGCAAAGGAAAGCGTAAAATAGGTTTTTCTTATAAAAGATTTAATACGGATTTTATTTGTTAAATTCAATATAAAATTTCAATTGTAGGTAAAAGAAATAAATAAAAAGTTTTATTTTGACCCAGAAAGTTGCACCGGAAACCTTCAACAGCTGAGTTTGTTGAGCAGTTCTGACAATCGAAACTTTAGGAGTATCAATAAAAATTTACAATTAAATTTTGATTAAAAGAGGCTAGTGTTTTTAAAAAACTGGTAACAAATTTAATACGCCAACATAATTTTTTTTTTCATCATCGCATATCTTATTTTGCATTTCAACATAACTTTTGAGTTTATATTATTGGTTTTTCAAAAATGACTCATGTCTCTAATTCAAGACTCTAAAAAAAATCACATTACATCATTTTAGAAAATTTGTATATAATAAATGAAAGGATAAAATTTTAAATATAGAGTCAAACGTATTTTTAAAAGCTTTAAAAAAGGTGGTGTCTCAAATCGACCGTATATTTTTAATGATTTTTTTAGGTTAAAAATTCAGTTCTTATTTTCGTTCCTAGTTTGGAACGTCGTATATTTATACCACCTGTATAAAATAGTAACTTGCTAAAAATTGGTTACAAATAAAGATAGAGAGGTAAGGAGTTCACGATACCTTATATTATCACACTTTCATATTGGAATGATCAAGTTTAAAGACCAGTTTTCAAGATTTTTTCTTAAAGAATACCCAAACTGTAAACTGTACCTAGACAGTTGAAAAAAAAGTCTAAAATTAGAGGTACAATTTCTAAAAATAAAGGTATTTTTTTTAAATTAAGATGTATAGAAATGAGATTCACTAAAAGAACTGTAAGATTTTTTGAAAACGTAATATATTATAAAATATTACTTAAAATAGCGATGAAACTTTAATTATTGAAGAATAAAATTAATTAACATCTCTGGCGTTCCTTCGGTTGTATCCAGGATGAGTCCGTCCAGTATCATGGTTTCTGCTGGGAGACGAACGGCTTCCACCCGAGCGCTTGGCACTTGGAGAGTCAACACTTCTTGCGTATCTTCTGTTGGGGTCCAGGTTAATGTCGTCAATGATCGAAGGTAAGACAGGATCGTCACCAGATGGTGGAGCTCGAATGACGTCGTCCCCTTTATACAACCACAATGGTTCCTCGTTACTGACACTTCTAGCAGTTCTGATGATGACCGGCCGTCTTGGTGGAGGTCTCCATGTTGGATGGATTATTCGCTGACATAAAGTGTCAGCCACTAATACCAACATAATGGTTAATAAAATTTTATGCATATTGTTAGATTATGAGCGCAAATTGCTTGAGACTGTTCAGTATTGTTGAGCATCGCCCATTTTATACTCGAGGAAAAAATCATAAGTAAATATTATGCATAACAAGAAGCGCGAGGGACTTTACTTTATCGGTAAAGAACTTTCTTGTTAATGAATAATTACTAATACTGATAACGACATGTTCTGGTAAATCATGAACCTTATATAAATATGATGTAAATATTTTAATTTAGTTTTTTCGGAGTTCAATTTATTTAACCCACTAGTCGATAAACAAAAGAAACACCCACACAGATACGAGTATATACATATATACATACATATGTGTAGCGGGCGGTGGTAGAAATAATAGTACAATTTATTGTACAATTATGAACCCTTCCTTAAATTTTAATGTTATATCGAAAAATGTTCGACTTAAACTTCCGATATTCTGATAGGTCCTTTAGTTATTTTTGCTTTATTAACGTTCTTTGTATATTTTTCGTTTACAGCTTGTAACGAAATAGTTTTAGTAAAATATTTATTCTTTTTATAGTGTAAGAAATAAAAAGGAAGGCACGTTTTTGTGTTGAAATTGTTTCGCTGCAGCGAAAACTCTCATCAAGTGAGATTGTCGTTGGGTTTTGTTACTCGCAACTTTATAATAATATTAGTTTTGAAACGAACAAAACTTTGAAATTAAATCCCTAAGTTTGAACGGTCACATGAATGCGGTTTTCAATGAATAACATAACAATAAAAATAACATCATAAAATTATTTACTGCGTAGAAGTTCTATATTATGGAGACATAAAATATATAAGGAAAAATTTAAATGTAAATACTTGGCGATCCAATGGTTTTTTGTGTTATTTTCGAGCTAACTAGGACAGTATGAGTTAGTTATCATAAAAATGCAAATAAATGCACACTTTATATTATAAAGATTATATTTATTTAACGCTTATGTTCCTAGATTTTTAATAATTATAAACCAGTTATACATGTTCTGCTTTAAAATAACAAATATGTTTATTTTGTCTGGAATAAAATAGGTTTTATTTTTTATGATTCTATATTCTCTGTTTGCCTCAATATCTATTATGTTTCTTCAAGTTAAAACAAACTTACAGAGAAGTTGTGTATGGAAGTAGAACACAGCAAAATGCTAACAGTGAAGGGTTTCGCTCGTTTTGGAATCGCAAATGGAAAATGCTGTGAACCAACCATTTGAATTTATTTTTGCTTTAACGATGCAGACGGAATTTAAAACAGCATTCACTTCATTGAGATTTTTTTTTACTTGTTTTCATTTTGTTAACTGATTACGTTTTTTTAAAAGTGTAGTCAACAAAATATTTTGTTAAAAACATATGACTTAGAGCGACAGTTGCACTTTGGCGTCAGACATAACTTATCAATATTTTGTTTTGTTGAAATTATATTAGTATATTACTCACTCTAATACTTCTATATAAATATATTACACAACTGAAGGAACTCCATAATTATAATAAATAAAATTTCTACTTAACTTATCTGTTATTATAATAAAACAACTTCTCTCTAGTGATAACATCTTGAAGCTGCAAGCATTCTATTTGCAAAGAAGTGCTCGATAAGATTGTAAGATTTTATCGTGTTGAATTAGTGAATCTAGTTTTCTGTCCCAGTTCCTCTACTTTATGTGTTATGTTTGTTACAAATACATTAAATTAATTAATATGAAATGTTACATACTTCTCATTAATCTATACATTTATAATCGTTTGTATATTGAGATGTCTGCTAAGTAATCTATAAGAAATGGGTCAAGGGTCACAACCTCCTGAATGTACCTGACCAAACAACGAAACCTATAATGGCATAACTATACTGCACCAGTTGTGTTGCAGGAATAAGTACTAGTGGGGATTTCCTTTAATTATCTCGACAACTCCAGGCACTCACGTACTTGCCCGTAATTAAGGCGACTCTGGGCACTGGCGCTTGTTGACACAAAAAGTAACAACCTAGTTAAGTCCTTATGGACTATTTATAATTTTAAGTACCCTTAAGTTCGCATGCTCTCGATGATATGGAAAATTATATTCATTTAAGTTTTTATTTATAAAGCCAAGCGTCTGATATGAGAAAAGAGATTTCATCAGTAACATATTCTTATCACATACATTTACAAGAACATATATGTGTAACAGTTAATTGAATGCATACTTTTTGATTATAATCATTCTAAAGAGGACCTTTTGAAGTGCAAATAATTTATATTTCTGTTTAATATTTTGTTTTAAGGTTGATATTTATTTTTAATTTGGATCTATTTTTGATTTCTTATATTAAACGTTTTACCTTATTTAGTTTATTTTATTTCCTTATGCTACTTGAAAATATTTTTAAATTTACCTATTAAATACCTATTCACTAGACATCTTCAAAGTGTTTTCCTTTAGTGCTTAAAACCAAAAAGTAAATTCAATCTTACTTCAGGTAAACGATTTGTCAATTGCACGAGTCAAAATGTGCACAAACAGAAATGCATCTAAAATGGCTTAAATTTTCTAGCGTATATTTTCTTCAATACCGATTTCAATATAAGTCGTCAGAGTCGCTTGATAGAAAAGTAATTTTAAATCACAAGGATAAAACCAAGAAGGAAAAACGTATTATAATGTCCAATGTACATTCATAAATACTTAAACACACCATATTGTTTACGATTTTTTAAAAGGATATCTTTATAGGAAAGGGACTAAAATAAAAAGAGTTTCATCACTTTTAAAACGATTTCGAGAGAAGCTTGGTAAAGGCTGCATGAAGAAACTAGCCTCGGGCCATGGAAACTCTTCATCCGACAAAAATTAAATACGACACCCACATCTGTGACAGATTCTCTTTGATCCCATACTATGTAGTAAAGACAATATCTAGCTTGCTTGATATGGACAAGCAAGTTATTTTCAATATTCTAGATTAGCAAGAAATGTATTTAGAGACTTTAGGAGAGTTAGCAAGATGTAAGATGTACAGTTAATGAAGTAAAGGTAATAAGGTGGATCTTACTAGTAACAATATAATAGTCTGTTGTTTTTCTCTCATTTATTTTCTCATATTCGTCTAATTACTACTCATAATTTTCCCACAGATAAATAGTATTTACGTTCTACATTAATTGTTATGAATATAAATAATTTTACTATTTGGTTTCATTCTGATACAATTTTTCTTAAGAAATTAGTTACTCTCTACAATATGTGACTGCTTTAGTATCTTTATATTTTTAGAGCGTTTAACATTTCAGTTAACACGTGCTGGGCGTGGTAGTTCTTCGCTGTTGATATTTTCAAACGAGGCCTGACGACTTGCAGCTGCTTTTTCAATATATCGGCGAGTGCGGAAGTGATTTTCGTGACTCTCAGCCGATTTCAAGCTTCTCGTACTTCTACGTCCTACTTCATGACTGAATACCTCCTCTGCACTTTTCAAACTCCTGTAAAAACGTCCTGGGTGTGGTAGTTCTTCGCTGTTAATATTTTCAAACGATGCCTGGCGACTGGCAGCTTTATTTTCGACATACCGGCGAGTGCGAAAGTTATTTTCATGACTCTCAGCCGACTTTAAGCTCCTCCGACTTCTGTAGTCTACCTCATCATCCTTTAGTCCTTCCAGACTTTTATCATTTCGGAGTACATGTCCCAAGGGGCTCAGACTGTCTTGATTTTCACTTACTTGCTTTTTTAGTTGCTCATGAACCATTAAAATTGGATTATATTGTTTAGTTTCATCGTTAGCACTTGAAATTTTGCAGAAATTTGCGATAAGTACAACCAGACACACTGTTATCGTTAGTTTATACATTTTCACGTCTTAACGCTTAAATAGAAGATGAGAATTACACAAGACCCTTTTATATTTATAGTAGTGGAAAGTTAAGATTGACCTTTATGCATTATTAGACTATGTAAAGGTCACTGTCTGTGATCCTCTTATCTTTGTTATTGACGTGATATTTGTGATATTGTATTATTAAAACATTCACTTCTCTATTACATACGTTAGTAAAAATTAGGTTTTGTTTCTTTATTTTCCAGTTACTCTTATACATGGTCTGTAAGTAACAATAGTTTCATAATTAAATTCAAAATTAAGAGTTTAAAATAGCGAAAAAATTCGTTAATGATTAATCAGTTGAAATATGCTTTATATCTGTATGTTGCAAAACAATATTTCATGTTTTTTTGATACTGTTATTTAAGTTTTATCAATAAACTTGACAGCGTAATTCCCGAAAGGTTGTTCTTTTACTTGAAATGCATATATTTCATAACATTAATTGATGAGGAAGCCAACGAAAATATTTTGTTGTTATAAGAAGTAGATATTATTTAAATGGGGACTTTCAGTTAATTATTTTTAATTTAACGTGAAATGGTGTTTTATTCCAAAAGCTGATTTTTTTTAAATATTTGTTTTTTTAAAAAATGGAATTAAAATGTTATTATGTAGGATGTCAAATTTAATTTGGTAATTGTTATAAATTAGAGGAGTTTTCTTTTTCTTTTTATTTATATTTATTTTGTTTTACCGAAAGTACATTTTTATTAAATAGTTAGTCGTAGTTATAGTTATCAATAAGTTGAAACAACATCTCTGGCATTCCTTCGGTTGTATCCAGGATGAGTCCGTCCAGTATCATGGTTTCTGCTGGGAGACGAATGGCTTCCACCCGAGCGCTTGGCACTTGGAGAGTCAACACTTCTGGCGTATCTTCTGTTGGGGTCCAGGTTAATATCGTCAATGATCGAAGGTAAGACAGGATGGTCACCAGATGGTGGAGCTCGAATGACGTCGTCCCCTTTATACAACCACAATGGTTCCTCGTTACTGACACTTCTAGCAGTTCTGATGATGACCGGACGTCTTGGAGGAGGTCTCCATGTTGGATGGATTATTCGCTGACATAAAGTATCAGCCACTAATACCAACATGAACGTTATTAAAATTTTGTACATAATGTTACACTGAAGACACTCTATACTAACTTGTTATGATTGCCATCTCATAATTTATACTTAATATTGAGGAAAACTGTAGATGAATAATATTTTAGTGAGACTAAGGGGCTTTACATTATTGGGTAAGAACTCTTCTATCTTGATTGTTAAACAATTAATGTAAATCAATTATAAAGAAAACTGTACACAAAAGTGGAGTATGTGAAGCGTTTAATGAATAATAACAAATCATGAATAACTTAGTGACCCTTGTCATTTTATTGAGGTAACCACCCCACACATACAAAATGACTTCGGAATTTTATATCGAATGTTAAAATCATTCTGAATGAAAGAAAAAGGTGATTTGGATAAAAATTAATAAACCCTTAATATTTTTAATGAACTATTAATTCTTTTTTTAAAGTGAAAGGTGGCAAACGAGCAGACCGCCTACTTGATGGAAAGTAGTTACCGTCGCCCATGCATGCTTTGCCAACCTGGTTTTTTTAGGAATGGGGAGGGGTAGGAATAAGGAAATGGTAAGAAAGGGTGCGAATAGGGAAAGGGCAACTGACTCTTTTACTCATCGGACGAAACGCAGCTATTAAAGGCTACTTCCTGCCGATCTTCTGTGAGAGGGTGGTACTTCCCCAGTCGAGCCAGCCCATGTTCGAGCTGTAGTTTACCAGCTATATTACATATCACCCAAAAAGGAAAGCCTCTTATGAAGTAATTTCTATATTTAGACAACCCATTTTGTATTTTGTATAATCTATGATATAGAAGTTTTGTGTGTTTTTAATTAATAAGAAATCAGTAATCATGTTGGAACATGTTTGAATTTAATCTTAATAAAGTTCACTGAGAAAACAAAGGTTATCATAATTATTATTATTATAGCTAATTCGATTATTTTTAAATGTGAAATCGTTTTAGCTATCAACGCTAACTACCTTATATTTTTCTTTTCGTAATAGGTAAAATATTATACAGGTAAACCGTTCATATTAATCAATGCACATGTTCTTACAGGTAATTGTTTCTAATGTTCCATAGACGTAATAGTCAATTTAACAACTATTCATGGGTATTCAGCTTAATCGTCGAAGTGACTACAATTCGACTTGTGTTAATTGCTCTTCCACAACTAGTTCCCTATAATAGACCGTGTTATACAGTACGTGACAGAACTTTGTCCTAGCGGACTTCAAGAAAAATAACTAAATAATGGATTATTGAGTAAATTTGAAAAAAAAAACCATTAAGTATTTACGGCTAAATTATTACTTCAGCTAATAATAATTAATTGATACTGTAGTTGATTTTTATAGTCTCCAAATCACAAATTTCTTACTGATTTGGGGGCGCTTGCGCATTTAGTAGCCTAACCGACCCTGTGACATTTTACTAAAGCGATGAGGGCTTCTGTGGGGGTTTAGTGGTTAATAGCGGGCCTATCCCGGGAAGTCCCACATTTGGTCTGGGGAAAGTTATAGCTCGCTTCACTTTCCTAAAAAAATCCCGTTGACCTTGTGACTTTATCACAAAATATAAAAAAAGAAACACTATAAAATAATACAGTCGTATAAAAATAATAGCAATACATATAATAATTCAAATATGATATGAAATCCTAAAAAAATCAAGCCTTTTCAGTTTAGTTTAGATTTTTTTAGTTAGTTTTAACTCAGATATGTAATAAATTTATACAAAAAAGGGGAACTGCTTTTTTGATTTGGAAAAACTGAAACAATGTTGCCATCAATATAATGTGATAATTCGAGACTTGTGTTTTTTATTTTATCATGTCTATTATTTTCTAATAATATATTTATATATAAAAATATACTGTAACTTTTTTCTATATTTCTGTGAGTAAGAATTTCTATTGTGTTAAAGTATGTATTTTCTTTATGAGACCAGAATTATTAAAAAATTTCATCAAAATCAATCAGCTGCAATGTAAAATATAACAGATAGGAATTGTTTAACTGGTACAATGTTGCAAATTACAAATGCCTTTCATCATACGAATTCGACAGCTGTTTTTATAAATCTGTATAATAAAATGAAATAGTTTCGTGAAAACTTTTAGCGTGTGAAAACGCCATCATGTTAGCCGAAACTTGAATGAAATAAATATTACTTTTAAAATGTGAAAAGGTCATTCGCAAACGTTAAAACTATTTTATGTTATGTTTAAAACGTGACGAAGGTGCAGACAGACCATCTACAGATAGCGAGACAACCATCTATTCAAAGGATTAACTGTGATTTAGGGATAGAAGTGTTAGAGCTCTTGAAGCATCCGGCTTTTATTCAGCACGAAACGTAGAAATATATATTTATACTTAGTTACTTTTATGAATTTGCCGCATAAATCCGATGAAGACATATTAACCACAGTTTAATTAAGTATCCTATAATTACAAGCTATACATCGAGAGATATATAAAATGTATAAGACTGACACTCGGTCCATAAGATATGTGTATGGAAATTAAAGATAATATGGAATTCGTATACAAAACGTCTTTGAAGGTGGTAGAGCCTAGCTGTGGTGAGTTACTACAGCTCGAACATGGGCTGGCTCGACCGGGGAAGTACATCCCTCTCACAGAAGATCGGCGTGAAGTAGCCTTTACTGGCTGCGTTTCGTCTGATTAGTGAGAGAGCCGGATGCCCTTTCCCTCTTCCTACCCTTTCCTTTCATTTCCTTATTCCCACCCCTCCCTATCCTCAAAAAACAAGGTTGGCAACGCATCCGCAACATTTTGTTGCGGATGTCCATGGGCGACGGTAACCACCTTCCATCAAGTGGGCCGTCTGCTCGTTTGCCACCTTTCACATAAAAAGAAAAAAAAAACATATACATCTTTATATTGCTGACATAGATATTGATTTTTATTAGAATTGTTGTAAATAATAAAAAGAAAATTGCGACTTATGAATTTATATAATGGTGTGAAAAAATAAAACAATTTGATTTAGTAGGCGAACTCTATCGTTTGTGTGAATCTTGTTATAGATTTTCTCATACTTTTTTATCATCGGTTATACTTTCATTAACAAACATACATTATTAACATTTGCATATATAATATTGCTGACGTAAATGGTAATAACACTGATAATATTATATTTCTTTCTATTACAATCGGTTATAGAATTTAAATGAAATATTATTTCTATGTACATATATAGAATTCAAACAAAAAATAAGTGAATAAAAAAATAACATTTAAAATTCAAAACAGCCAAAAGTTTCTAGTAAAAAGTTTGGTATTTATTGTATACTTTTCAACTACATTTTTCTACACTTAAATTATGTTGGCATTGTAAATGGAAACAGGACAGAACAAAATGATCACAGTGAAAGTCGGTCCGGTCGTTTTTGAATTGCAAATGGAAAATGCCGAGAACAAACTGTGTGAATTATTTTTGGCTTTAATCGCCAGCAGAGTCTACGGCACAATATGCAGTTCATTGAGATTTTAATTTCAACTTTATACATTTACAAGAACTTGAAATACGTATCACACGTATGAACTTAATATATATTTTGTATTAAAAGCAAAATTAATAATAAAACAAAGTGATACTTATATTATTACCTTCTCAAACACGAGTGTTAAATGGAATCAATCAATGCTATTTATAAATTTACTCCATAATTAAAAGTACTTACAGTTATCACACAAAATGGTAGTTTTAGTTTAAATTAAAATTGGGTGTAAAATATTCTCTTAAATAAGAAATATGTATATGTTCTGTACTATTAAATATATTTAAAACTATTATATGTAATTAAAAATACTTTCCTGTATTATAAATGTGTGTTATACGTTGTTACTTTCACAAAATATTGCTTGTTGCATCTACGCTCGGGTTCGAAATAACTAACGTTTCATAATGATTTGAAAGAGCAACGTTTAAACACTAGCATATAGTTATAGCAACATTTAAACAATTACTTTAAAGAAGTGAAGTTGATATCAATATTTTTTATAATCAACAATTAAAATAACCTTACGACAAAATCATAAAATTTAAATCTGTTACGAGATAAGTATTGATAGCCAAATTATGAAACAGTAAATTTCAATTTTAAATAAAGCATAAAAATGACTTTTATTTTTTACTTTACCTTTCACTAGAAATCCTTCTGTAAGCTACACTTGCTAACTTTAGTAAATGCATATACAGATATCTGCAGCGTAGCGTTGATTCCTGCAATCAAGAGCTCACAGTAATCCAATATGAGTTGCATAATAACGTTAACGTGTATGTCACTATCTCAACGAATTTGTAATACTTGGTTGAATGTAAACGATATTCCAGCGTTCTTTTTATCTGTGATGAAATAAGAAGGCAACTGTTAAGGTCGAAGAACTTTCATTTCAAATACTGTAGCCATTGATTAAGACTTGAGGGTTTTTTTAAATTAATACTTGAGTAGTGTCGTCTTTTTATCTTATAAAAATGTTTGATGAAAATATTTATCATTTTTATACTGTAAGGAAATATTCAAGCAGTCGATCGACCTAATACTTTGTACCTCTAATCTATGTAAGTATGTACACTATTAACATTAGTAAGCATGACTGTAGTTTCCAAATTTTTTAGAACACTCGGGATAAGTACAGAGAACGAACAAATCATAATAAACAAAAAGTTGTGGTTTATTCATTAAACTTTTTAATTTCAAGAAATATACATATCTACTGTATTCTTATCTTAACAGTTTGTAGATATAACTATGCTATTCGTGATGAAAATGTTTATCAGATGAATATAGCTATATTGAATGCATGGCCTATAGTTTGTGTACCTTTTTGCCAATACTGAAGAAAATGTGATTATATTTTAGTAACTCACAAAATATTACATAAATGTGATAAAAATTAAGAATTCATAAATTATATTATAAATATATAATAAGGTTCATACATTTCAGAATTCTGTCCAGGGTTATCGAACTTTGTAGAAATAAACAAAGAAAAGTAGTTTGCTTGTATATTGACTTAGATTATGTAAGGTGCAACACTACTCACGCAAGGTTATCACGCAAGAGGGTTGTATGAAGTAAAACAAAGGCTTGCAAACTCTTCCTGAGTAATTTTTATACAAATGGAAATTTTATACTTAAATAGCCATATTATTAGAAATACCCTAATTTTATGAAGTATTGTACATGTTCGCCACCTGTACTTTCAGTGTAATATAATATTAAAAATATAAAAAATTACCAATTATTTGCACGTATTCATTAAAATTACCGCGTTTTAATTATGCAAGAGTTCTAATGAGTGAGGTAAGTGTTTTGTGTAACAAAAGAAAACATTAATATCCCTAGTTATTTACATATTGTTATGCAAATTTAAAATATGAAAAGGAACATATGTGTGTGTGTGTTCAAACGTTTTTATACTTAAATACGTTAATGATTTTTTCCATTTACCTCATAAAGAAATGAATGTTTTCCTGTATGTGAACCAATGTGGGATTACAGATTTATATCTATGTATATGTGTGTGTACATAAGCAACAATTATTTTTCGTAATTAATTAAAAATATTCTAAAAATAACTTTTATTTGTGTATCGGCCGCAGTAAGGTTAATACTTTGCCTTTTAACCGAATCCGGTGGTTGCTGTTGACCACTGTGTGTTACCGATGTGATTGAACACTCAAAACACTACACACAATATGTTTGTAACTACAATTGACTTGTCTAACAAATGTGAATCACATTCTGAAATAAAGATTTCAATGATTTGTTTTCATTGTATTTATTATTAAATATTATACAAATGTATAATCTACTTTGTTTGAATAATTTTAAGGCCTTTTACATATATTCCTTAAAAAGTCGGCATGTTTATAGAAAAAATATTACGTTAAGCATATGTTTATTTTTTAAAACAATACTGTATCCATCATGATAAAAGAGGTCTCCATATAAACAATCAATTGAAGCTAGCATACATATTTTACAATGTTTATTTACAAACCTTAAATTAATCTTCTATTACTACGATAAATTAGTACATTAAAGAAAAAAAGTCGTAATTTTCGTTTCAAATCAAAATTTCACGCAATGATTTTTCTAGATGCATATATTGGAGTTCGTGGTCGCGACCACCCAGGAAGGGGTCGGAACAAAGGGGCCTTATAGGGGTTCGGCAGATGAAAAGACGGCAAGATATCTCTGGCATTCCTTCGGTTGTATCCAGGATGAGACCGTCCAGTATCATGGTTTCTGCTGGGAGACGAATGGCTTCCACCCGAGCGCTTGGCACTTGGAGAGTCAACACTTCTGGCGTATCTTCTGTTGGGGTCCAGGTTGATGTCATCAATGATCGAAGGTAAGACAGGATGGTCACCAGATGATGGAGCTCGAATGACGTCGTCCCCTTTATACAACCACAATGGTTCCTCGTTACTGACACTTCTAGCAGTTCTGATGATGACCGGACGCCTTGGTGGAGGTCTCCATGTTGGATGGATTATTCGCTGACATAAAGTGTCAGCCACTAATACCAACGTAATGGTAAATAAAACTTTATACATTTTGCACTCTTGTAAGTACAACGCTATAAGTGTGTTTGAATGAAATAATTTAATTTGTACAATTTATACTCCGTGTTAGGGAAGAACCATGAGTCAGTACCATATATATATTTATATTATTATATAAAACAAGGGACTTCACTTTATCTGTGAAGAACTCTTATCGTTTTATGTTTATACGTACAAAGATGAGGTCACCTTTTCTTTATTTCGTGATCTCAATACATGCAATGCATGTTTATAATTACATATCCAAAAAGAAACAAAGCAAATCTTAGCGTACATACTTGTTATTTTAACCAAATAAATAATTTGATAGCCTTCTCACTTAAAATTTAAGCATAAGCAGTTTTGAAAACGATTTAATCAGAGCTTGGGTAAGGACTAATTTAATCGTCACATCTAACGCTGGTGTATTCGAGGGCAGGTGATATATAGAACGTTCATTTTGTTTAGGAAGGGTCGATGACACCGCAAAGGGAGATAGATGGGATCGTAATTTAATAATTTGTTACAAAGATAGGGTGATTTCCCTTAAAGCAGTTACAATCTGCCATTACCAGATGTGTGACGAGTAAGTTCCAACCCATTACATTGATTAAATTGTTAGAACAGATTTTAGAGGATATATAAGAGTGTATATATTTTTGAATTAGGTTACAATTATATTTTGTGCTGGGAGATAACCGTCTTAGTGTTAGAGGTCGTTGCGTTCAATTTTTTTTGTTATAATGACATTAATGTTACTTCATTATATTTTGACTGTGAATTTCCTGATTCATAATATGAATAAATAAATTTGTAACATTATTTGTTTGTTAAGACGTAGTATTGTTCTGTAAAATATTAATATTAAAATATGGGTTATAAGTATTTGCTTATATAAAATATTTGTAAGCGCTTTGGAGTAAAAGTTTTGTTTTCATTTTAATTACTGCATTGATTTTTATTAAGCAAAAGTTAATAAAATATGTAGATGAAATGCATCATATTATTGCTTTTCAAACCTTATAGACAATTATAGCAAAGAAATTTCTTGCAAAACATTTTTTTTATGTTTTGTCTAGCTTGCAAATTACACGTACATCGTTGCTAATTATTTTTCATAGGAAGTTGACCTTCGCTTTAAAGGTTATGTATAATATAGAAGACGTAATTTGTATATATATAACTACTATAAAATTATTATTCTTATTGTTGTGTTCTATAATAACTCACCAAATCTTTCTAATATAATAAGCAATATCTCGAATAACAACCTACTATTATATGTAGTTTCATTAAAATGGCTATCAGTGAAAATCTTAGATATCATTAGTTAATATAATTACTCACAGTTATAAATGTTTCCTCAGAAAAGCTATGTATTTTATGAACGTTGTTTTTTCGAAAATAATTTGTTATTTTTTAATATTTGTTTGATCGATGGTTAATTATTGTTTCCGAGGACGTGGATTCAATATTAATGACATTTTCCTTATTGATGGATTGATTGATCCTTTTTGGTAATTTATAATGTTACATAATTTTAAAAAACTTTGCATTTAATATAGAATTTTATTTTATAATGATAATTTCAATAAACTAAAATAAATTACGTAACTGATTTTTTTCTATACAGCATCTTGTTGAAGTAATCCTTTTTGAAACGTTATACAGAAACTGTCTTTACAATTTGATATGAAATATAAAATAATATCTGTTACCAAAAAGTTTAAAATCTCAATTTTATACTAGTACGTACACAAGCACGGCGAAACTTAAATAAACGTACTAGCCTCAATAAACAATGAAAATAAAATGCAAGTACGCTACATACATAACTGTCTTACTTCAAAACAACAAAACAAGTAAATTTTAATTTTATCACCAACTGAAAATAGAAAATAGAACAATCAGCCGGTTATGGAAATGTGAAGTGCCTGAAAGGCTTTATTTAAGACTCTGTTATAGTCAATATATTAAAATAATTATTGTGTTTATATATACATATGTATCCATAAAATGTATTTTTAGGTATATAATGCACGGGGATAGGTAATAATCACGGAGACAAATATAATTTTTATGCTAATATGCTAACATACTTCCATACATGGATTAACCTATTCAAAACTACCTATTAACGTAGTCAAACTAATTTAATATTTTACTATTATTTTATTTATATCAAAAATATGCATAAAATGTTTAATGAGCACATACTCCGCTTCCTTTAAAATATAAATTATTATTGAATTATCAAGTCATATCTATAGGATTCACATTTTGTACGAAAAGCAGTAAGCTTCTCAGACATCTCGTGTGAAATTCAAGTATCTTATCTTATATTGAGTGGAATGATCTGGAAATTTCTTTTTGATTTAGTTGTCATCGCCTGACTTTTGGAACGGTGTACTTCTTGGTAGCATTGGTGTGGTTTGTCATGTTATGAATCTCCTTTATAAATATATTTAGATTTCATGATAGAAATTGAGTATTAAACAAATAAAAATGTAATATTTCTAGAGAAACTACTGTAATTCATTCTTATAAGTAACCCAAAAAAGGGATTCTATAATAAAACTTTTGTTTTTTATATATTTGTTACATGATTGAAAGCTAGCTTTTACCCGCGATTCCGTCCTCGTGAACATCAGAGTTGTTGTCTGCCACTACGGCCACTAAATCAGAACTGCACTTCATGGTTCCACCCTTGTGGTTTTGACATCGGGATCGGGATAAAAGTTAAAAAAATAACTCTTCGGCCACTGAACTCGAAATGTACTTCATGGTTTCACTCTTGTAGTTTTGGTATCGGGGTCGGGACCGGGATCGGGATTCGGGATTCGGGATCCGGGATCGGGATAAAAGGCAGCGTATGTCTTCCTCCAAGATTTCATACATGATATATTGCTATACCAAAATTCATCCAGATCGGCTCAGCGGCTTAAGAGTTAAAAAGTCATAGACAGACAGTTACTTTTGCATTTATAATATGAGTAGGGATAGTGTTCTAAGATCTTAATTGAAATTAAGTTATTTTATAATTTCAATTAACATTTTGTTCACAACGAAAAACTAAAGCTTAATAATGGGTACATTATGTTGATAAAAGTCTTATCCTCGTAATGACTTCTAAACGAAATGTCCGACTAGGATGAAACAATAAATATTTTACTTGTAAATAAATGCCATGGATAATATAATGTTTAATTTGGATAAAGATTAATTAATATTGCGATACAAATTTAACGTAGCTTCTTTCTTCAGGTGATCTAATAATTATTTTTTTTAGCACAAATCGTATATTGTGACTAAACATGATTCACATACTTCACATTTTCGGGAGTTTTATTCATTTAAATGAAACTAATGTTTCAGGAGTATGTAGTTATTATTATCAATAAAGTTGCGTAGTATATCCGACAAATATTAGTTTCATTTAAATATATTTACTCAAAATATTTAGTATCTCTAAATAAAACGGCTGAATATTGGACGCTCTCCTTTTCTGCCTTAATTGTAAGGAAAAAATAAATAATGAGTAATTTTACGTAAAAAAATTATTAATTTTAGAACAAAAATAAATCCTTTTGATGGGTGGGGTTCTATTTACAATTAGATTTTTACGTAGTTGGTACCATACGGAGTTTCTACAATGATGTTTTGAATATTTTAGAAATGTACCTAAATAGCTTAAATAGAAATTCCAATATGAGTAATGAATTAAATTTCATTTTATCCAAAGAAACATGGTTTTAAACCGGAACTTCAATTAATCAAAAACAACTTCTAATCATTTTGTTTCTTATAATTTCAATCTTACGTCGACAATTATTCTTGTTTTAGTCATGCATAATTTTATAAAAAAAAGATATGTAAAATTATTATAATAATCTTTTTCATCCAAAAAAAAAACTTGACTAAGAAGAAAAAATTATTATTTCTTTTAAACCTAGAAACCAAAATTTTGTTAATAATATAATTATACTTTTATATCATTTTTTATTTAAGAACAATTATAATTCTATCCGTGTAACAGTTTTTACTTTCAAATTAAAGAGGACCTATTTCGAAATAAATCCTTTAAAATTTGTTTTTTTTTTCATAGTTATATCCTACCATAATAATAATTAAAAATATATCAGTTATCAAATATACATATATACAGTAACAACCGTCTTTGTTTTTTCGTTGGTGAAATTTGTATGTTCATAAAGACAAAAAAGGTTAAAGCTATTTGTAATTAGTTTCAATAAATATTTTATACATTTACAAAAAGCGTTAAATTTAAATAGAATATTTTACAGAGTCCTTGTGTAATACAATTAACAAATTAAATTAAATCTTACAAATGCCACTAAGACTAAATTGGGGCGACTTTTTAGGGTTTTATTTTATCCGTGCATTTATTTCTTGGCTAAAAATAATTTCTATGAGTTCTCATATGATAAATATAACACATTTGATTGTTGGTTATAAAAACACATTTTATAAGAACTAATAAAATGTTAAAAATATGTAGAAGACTTAGTAGCATTGACAGTAAAACAAAAAAAAAATTTTTTTTAAAATCCCTTTATCATTTCTGATAATAAAAATATTGAATACATCAAGCTTAAATAAATATAAAAACGATGACCCAGAGGAGCTGTTATAAAAAGGTTTATTCTTTATAGCCAACGCCATAAAAATATATCGGATACACAGTGTTAGAAGAATTTATGCATTCAAAGTATTTGGATCTGCTCTTTTATAGAGTACTTCAACACAGTTTCAGACAGTTTCTATTTTAAAAGTGATTTAAATTTTTATATTGTATTTGAAAAAACTGTTAAATTTTGTGATTGAATTTGAAATAGGTTTCAGTAATTGATTGTGTTTTTCTACATATATACGAGTAGTTTCAAATGTTATAGAGTTTTAAAATATAATTTCCTATTTGAATTCTGTAATATGTTCGTTAAATTCTTTGTTTTTAATATTTAAAATTCACCGAAATTTTATTTTCCATTACA